GTAGAAAAGAAACTCTCCACCGTGGGAGACAATATATTACCAAACATATAAAAACATATATCCACAATTTTCATGCCACCTCACAGTGAAGGAACAAATATTTATGTGTTTCTTCTCCTTTAAGACACATTACGCAAGAATCTGGAGAAACAAACCCATATAAAAATAGAAGTTGAAGGAAGTCATTTATGTCTAGTTTTCAGTGAAAAGCAGTTCAAACAAAGAGCTTCATTTTAGAAGGAACTAGAGCGTTCCAAAACATTTGTTGAGGATAAAAAGGATATAATCGAAAAAAGAACATGGTTGTAACATGTAAAAACCAATCAAATATCCTTTTAGTTTCCGATATTACAAACTACGGGAGGATATATAAGAATTAACCAATGTGTCAATAAAATTTGAAGCGCATGGAGGATAAATTAGATTACTTAGTTGCATTCCAATTGAATTGTCAGAAATGTTAACGTCATAATTTTCTCTAAAAGAATGAAGAAAACAAATAAATGATCTACAATACACTTGTCCAACTTTATAAAGGATTAGGCTAATGGTACGGAATTACGTTGCAGCTTATCTATATGTTCACAAACAGTTTGAAGTCATGAAAATATTTCTCCATCAAAAAAGAAGATTGATAAAAGATTAAGAATATTTCTGAATTTTTCAGCTAGAACCACTAAAGTATCATCACAAGGGCTAATGGATATTTCAAAGAAATAATTAAATGGAGAGCAGCGCTAACATATGCAAGTTTAAGTACTCTTCCCTTTCTGCCCATCAACCCTTTTGCAAAAGAGTACATGTGAGCCAAGACCTAGAAGCTGAAGGATATAGCTCCTCATCAACCTATTGTGTTATCATGTTATGCAAGTTCCTTAAATACCCTATAATTATAGCCACCAAATTTACCATTATAATTGTTAGTGCATTATGAGCGGACTCGTCTATTTCACCATGTAAAGCTATACACATAAATCTTCAACATCATTTGATGCAGACTTTGATTTTAACTTGAAGAAAATTTCAATTTCAACAACCACTTTAAATATGCCTTGAAGCATTGTTGTTAGGCTAGCACTAGTGCCACCAATCCGCTAAAATCACTTGTTACGCTACCATTCCTCTAGTCCAATCAAAAACATTTTTGCTTCTAGGAGTAAGATGAGTGTGAGTAATAACAAGGAGGTAAAGAAGTAATTTCAAGGCATTCAACAATGAATCATCTATCTGTGAGAGAAATGATGGGAATGAAACCATAACTGATAAGAACATAGAGATGAAAGGATAGATGTTGGCATTGAGATAGACAATGCATTGTATGAATTTAAGGTTTTTGCTTGCAAGCAAGGCATTGTTTGATTCTTGCCTTTTGTCTTCACTAGACAAACTCAAGTTCCAACTCTTTTAATCATACTTTCATCTATAGTCATCTACAACTTTATGATATTAGTGTATCTGCATCATGCATATGATTCTTGCATTTTGTCTTCAACTTCTCTCCTCCAACATAACCTCATGAAACCCATTTCTTAACCCTATTAACCAATTTTTCCTAGCTTTTGATATTGGTTTCTATAACCAAGCTATCTAGCTCCTTGGAACTCCTAAAAAATCTCTATTTTCCTTGCTCCTATATTGGCAAGCACATCATTATTCCAAGTTTTCAATTTCTCCTTTAAGTGTTTCAGCTTCTTCATAAATTTAAAACCACCCATCCTTTTATCTCTCTTTCTTACCACCATTATAAGTGTTGAAAAACAATATGCCGAATTGAAAAAGGATAAGGCCTTATCTAATACACTAAGACATAAGTAAAATAAGAAAGTGATCTAATACACATAGAAATGTTTCTTATACCAAATCATAAAACTCATCATCCTAATGAATGGATATAAAAAACCAGTCTAATCATGATGGCATGGTGACTCATCCGTTCACTGACTAAGTGAAATGAGCGTTTTCTAATATGAGACATCTAAGATTATAATCGTGAATAAAATCATTAAATTTTTTTATTAACATTGCCATTTTGTCAATTTCTAATTTCTCTTTGAAAATTAACATATATTGAAATTTTCATGCAACCAAAATGGGTTATAAAAGCTAAACAAGTAAGATATCTCTTCATAGAAGAAAGATTTAAATTGATCCGTATCAACTTTGATGGGATATCTAGCATCGTACATGGTTAAGATTCCTTCAAAACCTCTTAATTCTAACAAACATTATTATAAATTAGTCGAGTTCTTAAGTCAAATCATATATGATATTAAATTTCAAACTCTGAAGCAACTTAATCCAAACACCACAAGACATTTGACTTAAAATTCACTAATAACATGCTGAAGGGTATATGTATATGTGTATGTTACCATAAATATTGGATGGTAGCAAACACTAAAATAAAGATCAGGGACATTGATTTCTTCATAATTTAATGGTAGAAATCACCTCATATACAAGTAGGCAAAATTGTTGCTTGGATAAACCGATATAGAACATATTCATCTATTAAATGAATAGAACATATTCATCTATTAAATGAAATTCATTTTTTGAGAAATTTTAATTTGTTGGTACCATGCCATAGATAGTGTAACATATATAACTTAAACTATACTAATAACCTAAACTAAATAAAATATATAAGTAGTGCCAATACCAAACTTTTTAATGATAAAAAAATTATTATTATAGTATTCTTGATGTAGGATAAGTAGAATTTAAATTCATTTATTTTGTCAATTGTTTAGAATTTTTTAAAAAAAATGAGAAATAAAAAAATAAAAGTAGATTAAAAGAATCTAGAAACCAATTTAAAAGAGGAGATTGAAGATACAAAGAAAAGAAAAAGGTTTTTTTTTTTAAATAAACCTATGACTTATCTATTTTTACCAAGCATCAACCATCATCTAAGTAATAGAATATTGCCACAACCATCAAATCAATCTAGTTGACCAAGCCTAAATCCTAGTTGCAAATTTATGTTGGAAGAATTATCAATCACCATTAGAAAGTTAAATTGTAGCTATCCATCAAGTATAAAGCACAATGACCATCAATCTGCTGCCGCTAACACTAAATTGAGCCTTTTGTAAGACGACCAACTCTCACTTATGACCAAAATGGTGCATGGTCTCTATATACTTTTTACTATGTGATGTGAGTACAGATGATTTGAACCATTCCAACAAACATTCAAGGCAAAGAAGTTAAAGAGAACACAAGTTGGACTATCAAAAAGAAGTTACAGGGGGCCAAATCCACTCTAAAAGGGAGTTAGACGGCAAAGCCTATACAAGTGGCTATCTGGACCTTATACTCTCAATAGGTCACAACATGGATTGTTTTATGATAGGTCAAACTATTTTGGGCCATAAACAACATCTAAATGGAGGGAAGCAAAGCTTGAAAGCCTCATCAGATGGAATTAGAACACATTGGATTTTATAAATCATAATAATTGGACCAAACACAAAAATATGGACCAAAAGACTTGAGAAAGACTTCTTTAATTATATCAAGAGATGGATTACTAAGAAAGAACAACTTGAACCAAGCATAAAAGCACGCAAGGGAAGAAGAAAAAGCCCATTCGGCCATGGCAAATTGTGTCATACATTCTCACCTAATTAAGGGAAGAAGTTGAGACAAACTTATGGAAAATTCTCTTAAGCCCTGAGGGATCTTTCCCCAAGTAAGAAAAAATTCTTACCTTAAATTTTTCATCCCAAAATAGGAACCAAAATCAAAGAGAATAGACAATCAACCCAAAAGATCCTCCTCGACCAATCTTAATCTTTCAAGAAGAAAATACCAAATCTCATGCATTCAAAGGCATGGATCTCATGGGTTTAGAAAGATTATGGACAGATTTGATGTCCACTTCAAGCATTTTTCTTTTTTTCACTCAAGAATCTTATAAATTAAAAAAGGATCTTCACCAATTAAAAGGCTTCCTTAAAGGAAGCTGCATATCTCCATTATTTTGATTAAATCCCTCCTTATTGTAATATTTTTCTTATTTTATTTTTAATTTGGCTTCCCAGTCAAGAATATATTATTAATTAAGAGATTTATCTTCTTGTATCTTAATTGTCTTACAACTATAAATAAGCCTCGAATTCATGATTATAAAATTAAGTTTTCGATTAATAAAATTACTAAGTTTTAGCTTTCAACAAGTGATGTGTTCTTCATCATTCTTATTGAGCAGGGAATTAGTTCAACTTATCAAGGTAATACTTGTATCGTTTTATCAATTCTTTAATTTTTTATAATTACTTTAATTTCTATCATCTATTGACATTAGATTAAGTAGAGAATGCTTATTTAGGAAATAAATCTTTTGTACTAATTGAAATTGTATAAGTTTTTATTGCATTTTTTATCATGAGTTCTACATCATTATGAGTAAACATTAATGAACATGTCTTGTTTCAATTGGGTTGCAGATATTTAAATTGTTTGGTTTCTTCTAAAATCGTTTTAAATTCTCTTATATCAACTTTCACCAATTTAGACTAATTCCTATTGTTTATCTGCTCGTTTGGGAAGGGGGAGAGACAAATGATAAATAGACATAGAGATTTACTTTCACCTTTTGACATGCGTCCCATTCCCTTGATCACTAAAGCCACTTTTGTGCTTTAATTCACGACTCATGCTTCGATTCAACATTAGTTTCTTTACCTCTTAGAATTGCTTAGTCCCTTATAAATAGTTTTGTGACTAAAATACATTGCCTCCAAATGTTTCCATGCCCTTGAAGGCATTTCTCATGCAGATATATTCTTAAGGTACTTGCCCTCTCAAAAACTTTCACGAGCAAGCGTAGACTTCAACTTACTCAAAACTAGTACAACCAAGTCAACCTACTATTTTGACATAACTCCATTTATTAGAAGTTTTGGTTTAACTACATGAATATTTATTTACTTAAGACAAGAAATTTGGTTGTTTATACAGTCATCACTTAACTCAACTTAAGTCAATAGTTTTCTTATATATGCATTTCGACCTCGTAAGTATGCAACCAACCTCCTACCCCTTATTAATTGCCTTTTATTTCTCTTCACAACTAACTTGAACATTAGAGTCAATGTATCAAGGAATATGGACAACAATGAGATGTATATGTAACACCCACAAAAAAAAAATTTAAAAAAAATTTGTGTGTAATTAAATAATTAATAAATATAATTTTTTATTAATTTATTTTATTTTGTTGTATTTTATTTTATTTTATTTGGGATAAAAATGAAGTAAAAATTGAAAAAAGATGAAATTAGAAACAATTTTGGAAAAAATGGATAAAAATTTGGGTTCTGAAAGTATTTTTAAAAGAAAAATCAAAAATTATGGGTCAAAGTGCAATTTGGAGAAGTTCTGCCACGTGGGACGCCCGATCAACAGTCCCGACGAACCAAGATGCGCCATATGGCAACGGGCGCTGACGTGGTGCCATGCGGGCAATCCGCGCGCTTGCGATCGAACGGCCCAAGTCAGTTCCTGCGCGCACGGACGACCTGGATGCACTTCCCCCAAACACGATCGAACAGACAGATTCAAACACGATTGGACGGTTCAGATTAAATCACGATAGATGGCTCATATTGGATCGCGATAAACAGCCCAGATTCACTTCCTATTTAATCGCGATCGGACGGTTCAGATCAAACGCGATGGACGGTCCAGATTAAAAGCAGATGGATATAAATAACTCTCATTCGCACCAAACCCTACGTCGGAGAAGACGACATAACCGTCGGAGAGCAGACCGCCGCCATCCGCCGCCGCACTGGAACCCTTTCCAACCATCAAAAAAGGTAAAAACTTTTCCTTTTGCACAAAATTTAATTTTAAGCTACCAAATCGGAGCAAAAATACCAACCAATTGGCTGAAAAACGCCGACGAAGCCCGGCCACACCGCTGCGGGAAATTTCACAAATCGCCTCCGATGAGGCCCTTTCCAATTCCCATTCTATGTAATTTTTTCACCGTTGTGATCACCGTATCCTTCTCTACAGGTCAACTGGAGCAAAACACTCAACCGCAACGTGAGCTAAAGGAGCTGAGCCACTGGTGAATTTAGGTTTTTTATGTTTTTTTGGCCAACCAAAATCCTTTAACGTATTTTCTCGCATGGATCGATGCAAAATCGGCTCAATTTAGCTGAAAATGATCGAAAATAGCTGACCCAAGGCAGACCGCCTCCGTACCAAAATTTTAAAATTGGTCGAGTGGGCCCTGTGACTGATTTTGAGTTTGTTTGGAACATTTGTAGGTACTATTAGTGCGTTTCGATTTCCGAAAAAAAAAAAATCAAAGAACCTAGAGATCGTCCGTAAGCGCAGTAAACAGATTAGCTTTTTGAGCGTCAAATCGAGTAAGGATCTCTCACCCTATTCCCTACAATAGAATTGAAGTTTAAATCAATAATAATATGGTATTTACGCAAATTAAATAAATGTGCATAATTAATTACGGATTGCTAATGGACCCGACCGAAAATTGATTTCTGTTAATTTATTTTACATTCTAAAAGTATGATAGTATCTGATTTATCAATTTTATAGTCTGAACGCATGAATTGCTGTCTTACGTGACTACTGTTTGATTGAAAAATTGAGATATGATTGCATTCCCTGATGCATGTTTGTTTGCTTATGTGATCATGGTTGATTTAGAAAATGGAGACTAAAGAAAAATAGAAAAGTTGTGTGATTAAATAAACAGATGGAATAACAGCCTTACTAAATATCCTGAGAGATGGTGAACGGACCGGGTACATAGGAAATCCTACTGTGAACATTGTCTCGTACCAAACGGGGTATGGACACTTGATAATTTAATGCTCATACCAGACAGGGTATGAGGACGGCTTGCTTCACCCTCATACTGGATAAG